AAAACTATCGGATTTATACCGGATATAGTACCAGCAGACTTATTTGCTGCCATCAAAATCATAGCCAGTTTGTAGTACATTGCGTATTCTATGTAGCTTTTCCCCAGGCTTTTCTATGGGTGTTACCACACCAATAGATCGATCGTCGATCGACGCCATTGATCGACATCGATCCATTTCGATCGATTGGTGTGGTAGCATTAGCTTATCGACGGATACTAGTCGATAAAACGTTGTTCAGTTATCGATCGCCAATTAATGGGTTGTGGGCTGATATCGGTATCTTTCAAAATGTGGTCGGTGGGTCCTCGAACAATCAAGCAGCTTGATCGACTGCGACTAATCTATTCTACCATCGATCTGTGCCACCGATCGATGATCGATCGATTGGTGTGGTAACACCCTATAAGAGCTAAGACACCTCATAAAACATACGATGCAAAGTACTAAATAATAACTACCTAGTCAGGTCATAAATTCTGTCACATGTTTAATATAAAATAATTGAAACAAGTTTATTCATTATGTAACCATTTAAATGAACAAAATGAACTTAACAAAACATAGATTCTTAAGACACTAAAGTTTATTCAAAATGACCTCCGTGATTTTGAATACAGGCCTTCAATCTGCGCGGCCAGTCGTCTATCGCAGCACGAACGAGGTCCATGCCAATATCGGCGACTGCCTTAATCAAGGATGTCTTGAGTGACTCCAAATTGGGATGAAGCTTTGAGCACGCCTTTTCCTCCAAGTGTTGCCATATCTTGTAATCTAACGGATTCAAATCTGGACTGGAGGAGGGCCAGTCTTCGTGCCGGATGAAGTCGATTTCACGCGCCGCCAGCCAGTCTTGTGTGCTCGTCGCTCTATGAGCTGGCGCCGAATCTTGTTGGAATACCCAGTGCCTGTTATTGAACATGGTATGAGAAACAGGTTCCACAAGGTTCGTCAGGACTGTATTTTGATACACAACTGCATTCGTTTTTACACCTTTCTCACAAAAATGTACCTCTATTAAGCCCCAATAAGAAACTCCCAACCATACCATAAGCGAGGATGGAAAATGACCTCGTTGGACATGCGGAATACGGTTGCTCGCTTCTTCACTTTTGTGTGCGTACACCTTATCATTTTGTTTGTTGTAGCTCTCTTCTACGGTAAAAATTTTTTCATCCGAAAAAAGAATTTCTCGATATTTTTTTCCCGCGTACCGCTTCAACAAAGCGCGGCATCTCTTCAATCTCAGGTCCATTAGACGAGCATTCAAACGATGTCCTGTTTTTCTTCGATATGCTCGTTTTCACCGTGGTTCTGCTTAACCCCATCTGAAGAGCCAACAGTTTCTGCTTACGTTTAGGATTTCTTTGAATTCGCGCCTTCACAGCTTTTATCACTGCTGGAGTCCTAACAGACCGAGGGCGACCACTTCTTGACCTGTCATCTACACTAGAATCTTCATTGTATCGTTTGATGGTACGATAAACGAATCTTGTGGTTATATTCAAATATTTCGGTATGTCAAAAATTTGAATTGGCGCGTAACCGCAACGATGCAACGCAATAACTGCAACACGGTCTTCTTTAAGCGTCCACTCCATATTTAAAAATGAGTAAAATTTTAAAAACTGTACCTTTTTTATTTTCATGAACAATTCGAAATTCGAATTCAATAAACTTTTTTGTGGCCAGCATTCTAAAAGATAAGTTTTTACTGTGTGACAATACTTATGACCTGACTAGGTATATTTTGATGTCAACAAATTCAGCGAATAGGCTTTTTGATACTGATACAATATTCTATAATAATAATTTTTTCATCATATGTTGTATTAGAAACAATTTACATAACTTCACTTTGTACCAATTCAAAATATATTGTATTAAATGAAGACTTAAGTGCACATAAAAACAGGTTACATTCATCACGCTTAAGTGTTTACCCAAACCGAATCAAAGGAACCGTCGGGAGATTCTTTTAGATTTCTTGCTAAGCCTAAGAAGAAAGTTCTCTCGTGATAATTCGCACATTACTTTTGAACAGGCGATAGTTTTATTTGATCATTAAGTGCCCTATTTCTATATAAAAAAAAAAAACCTAAATCTTGATACGCACTTGGAATGTTACAGAATATAGTAATCTAGAAAAAAGATCAGAATTATTATAATGACTATTGTGTTTATTACTTTGAAACGAATATTCATCACCTTAATAAAATCTACACAAACAAGTTAGGAAAGGTAGAGACATGCTGCAGCTATATTATGGTTGTAGCACGAATGGGTCGGCTCGACCGGGGAGGACCACGCTCTCATAGAAAACCAGCGTAAAATAGCAGCTTAACGCTGCTGTGTTTCGTATGGTGAGTGTAGAGAACCGGAGACCCTTTTTACTGGCAAAGAGGCATTCCATCTTAGTCCTCACGGGTGACAACGCATCTGCATCTTGAGTCTTTATTGAGGATAGTTGTAGATGTCTATGGGTCACAGTAACCACTTACCATCAGGTGGACTGTGTGCTCGATTGTCAGCCGATCCTATAAAAAAAAACAGTAAATAGTTTTACAAGAAAATCGGGATATTATAATATTATCCAGATGTTAAGAAAAGTAGAGACTTACGTACAATAGTTATTAAATCTATACTTCTTTAAAATATTCCTTTTATCCATTACAGACTTTAAAATCCACTGCTAAACAGGCCTGCCCCATATTATATTGTCTTATCAAAGAATAGATTTTGTGGTTTAAGAAATTTATTCCTCAAAAGAATACGATTCACTTATCATGAGAAATAACAAGTTAATTATAGATACTAAATACAAGAACGGCAGGTATTACAGGTAGAACAGGCAGGTCGTAAATGATCTATTATTTACCTGGGCATGCACAATCTGCTTGCAATGTGTATGGTAATAAGAAAAATAAGTGTACAATTACATATCGTTATTGAAAGCAAGTTTATAGCAATTACATATTTGCAAGCAATTTATAATTAATATAATATTTTATAATAGTCACCATACTTGGCAGACGATTTGGTAACCGGAATATTTTTTATTATTTTCAGCTGTTATCAGAAAGAGGCTGCAGCTTTTCTCCTGTTTTAGTTTGCCTCTGTTTTTTTTTTCATATTGAATACTATGTTCTTTTTTACAATTTTTAGTAGAGACATGCTGCAGCTATATTATGGTTGTACTAATGGTTCAGCTCGAGGGTTAGTTAAAGGGGGGCTTCTATCACAGAATATAAGCGTAAAATATCAGCACCATACTGATGTGTTTCGTATGGTGAGTGTAGAGATCCGGAGACCTTTTTTACTGGAAACAAGACATTCCATCTTAGTCCTCAGCGGTGACAACGCACTTGTATTTTCATCCTTAATGGAGGAGAGATGTAATAAAATAAAATAAAATTAAATTAGAATTTATTATTTTCACAACATATTCTTGAATTAGTTTTTTAAATTTTCTTTTAAGTATAAAGATAGATATGTCTATGAGGCACAGTATCCACTTAGCATCACTTGGTCTTTGTGCTCTTTTGTCACCCTTATTCTATATTTTTAAAAAAACGTGTTACTAAAAGAACCCTTATCTATCGTTGGCTGTGTACCAGTAGTGATAGTTATTGCGGTAGCTAGCAACATGTTTCAGGCGTCGCTCGGAGGCGGCAAACGCGGCGGCAAACAGCAGTCGACCGGAGACGCGGACCGTAGCGCACGCCCCTGTCGCGCCAAATCCAACCCTCCGGGAGCTAATCCAACAAGCGCCGCGGCTTTACTACTTACGCCGTAGAAGGTTCCAATATCTCTATATTAAAAAAAAATATTTTAAATGCACATCGTCCTTCATGTTTACGTAAATTAGAAAATTTTCAATATTACTAAATTTTAACTGTTTCATCTAATACGATTTTTAATGTGCTAAACTTTAATAATGCGTGTAATTAATCAGTTTCTTCGGCCGTTTGCTGTTTGCCTATAATCATTTTGTATAAAATTCTTAACGTTTAATCTTAGAAATTATTTACATTCGTTCTCACGATACTCGTCACTTGAGTTTTCCGAATGACTACACCCAATAAATTGTTCTAACAATTCCGACCTCGAATTATGGATTATTAACAACAATATTGTCTTTATGGCATAAACTCAATACTTTTATAACATTGCATTCAATTAAATAATTTAATCTGTTAAAAATAGCGCATTTTTTTTTAAATTGTTGCTGGCACAAATACCAGCTACATTGTAAAATGTATAAAACCTTAACTGTTGGAATGGAATGGAGAAAAGCAATACGTTTACATTTATATAAAACACAACAAAGTAGCCCCGGTGAATATGTTTTTAAAACAAAAATAAAAACTCGTTACTGGTAGCATTATAAGAACTTCATAAAGGCTACCGTTAGTTAGAATTTCGAAAAGCATTATTCAACTGCAATTTGAATATAAAAGACTAACTTCTCCCAAATACATTTCTTGCATTCTTGAAAACCTACAATTATAACCTATTGTTGCCAAGTTTAAGCGAGAGTATAAAAAGTACATCCCATTCCTAACTAAATTTATATTGTATATTACGACTTACATTATTTTAAAGTTAAAACATGATGTAAGGCAACACTAATGTCATTCGCGTCAACAATTTACAATGAATGGCTAATGTTCAATTGGCAACTATTAAAGCAATTTCAGACTACTATTGCAACTCGGAATACTTTGTACGATATAAACTCGAAAGCAACTCGATAATAAATCGCATACGGAACGTCCATCCCTTTTCATTGATCAGACTTAATTGCAGACAGATAAATGAGACCGTAGACATAGAACAAACGGCCGCAAGGGATCATCCTCTGCTAAAATTCTAGGGTTTAACGATATCGTACATTAAGACATCGTCTACTCTGAGCTGACTTGTTGAGCAATCGCGATCGACTCTAACCTTAACAGGAAAGAGTTTAAAATTGAGAATTTTGATTAAAAAATAATACGATGGCGGCAGTAAGCAGATATAGCTCCTACAACTGCCTGACTGGATGGGACAGCTACGACAAAATACCAAGGTAATTTACAGATCAACGTTTTTATTGTCTTTGTATTCGTTGTATTATATTTTTCTGTTTATAATTTCACATATCTATTTCTAACAAAGTATACAATAGCTATGTTTTATTTACATTTCAGTACAGAACAGTAAAGATCTAATTAATTCTATACAAGCAAGATAGATAGTTTCTCGTTTTGAATGAAAACAGAGGCACGTTTTAGAGAATACGTTTTTGTGTTTTGTTTTTCTTAGAGAAGTATACGAATCAATCAGAACTAATTTTATTGTCATTCAAGACGTCAGACACTGTAGTATTTCAAGGTCAAATCCACCTTTCATGCTTTTTATAGACTTATGGTGACGGGCACAAAGTCTTTCTGAATATAAGTGGACATCTATCTTCACCCCTGAGGACTACGATGGAATGCCCCGGTACCAGTAAAAGTGTCTGCGTGACGATCAAGGTTTTTCAATCTTGCTTACAATATGAGAGGCGCACATCCAGCATTGGACTTCCAGTGGCTAATGAAGCAGGAGAAATTTTATATGAACCCAGCATTCTACACGCTGCAAAAAATATTTTAAGTATATTATTTTTTAATGAGTTTACGTGGTAGAGCCATGCTGCAGCTATGTGAATAGTATAGTTGTAGCACGAATGGGTCGGCTCGACCGGAGAAGGACCACGCTCTCACAGAATACCAACGTAAAATAGCAGCTCAAATTAAAATAAAATCTGCTGTGTTTCGTATGGTAAGTGTAGAGAACCGGAGACCTATTTTACTCGAAAAGAGGCATTTTTATCTTTGTCCTCACGGCTGACAACGCATCTGTATTTTAATTCGCAAACGAAGATAGATGTAGATGTCTATGGGCCACGGCAACTACTTACGATCAAATGGCTTGATGACTGTGACCGCTTATATATAAAATCATTATATATAACTAGCTGACCAGGCAAACTTTGTTCTGCCCTTTCCGACGATCATTTAAATTCGCAATAAAAGTATTGAGGGTCACTTATCGAGATAAAAACTATCCTATCTTATTAAAATCGGTTTAGTTGTTTCGGAGTTCATCGCGGACAAACAATGTGACACATAATTTTTATATATAAAGAAAATTACGTGTCACGTTGTTTGTCCGCGATGGACTCCTAAACTACTGAACTGATTTCAATAAAATTTTGCACACTGCGTTCAGGTTAGTCCAACTTGAGAGATAGTTTTTATCCCGATAAATGACCCTCAATATTTTTATTACGAATTTAAGGATTTTTTATAGGACAAAATGCCGTCGGAGAGGGCAGAACAACGTATGCCTCGCGAGTTAGTATATATAGTTGCTTTTTTGAGAGATTTCTATATTTCCGAGCTGATTTCTGAGTTAAGGCGTGTCGATTTCTTATATTTACGCGAACACTACACATTTTTAAATAAAACTAATTTTACGGATTTTATCGCGTATATTAACTTATTTTTAACTTATTTTTATATTCCCGACTCAGTCCCCCGTGACCACTGGTGCTGGAAAGCACCCGAAACGTCGGGAATATAAAAATAAGTTAAAAATAAGTTAATATACGCGATAAAATCCGTAAAATTAGTTTTATTTAAGGCGTGTCGTTTTCCCAATTACATTATACCCTGGCTTTGGTGATTTTTGGATCTCGACAACAGTAACACCTACCGACACACAATAAAATTCGGCAATATCGGTCGGACCCCTTTCGAGTTTTTGCAAGACTAACGGACAGTAATTGATTTTCATATATAGAGATAACATGTATTCAGTTCTTTTTCTTAAAGATTTTAAGGTTAATAAGCTAACATCCGTGTGTAAAATAAAAATGGCTGAACCTACTTATGGTGGGTTTCTAAATATAAAAACGCTTTATAAAAGCTTTTAGAAAAATTTACTTCGCAAATATCCACGTTATAAAATAAAATGACGTGTCTTACCTAGTATGAAGAACACCTCCCGCTCACGCCTCACGATAATACAACAGTACAACACAGTATTATCTTCAGTGGTGTGTCTTGCCTAGTGTAGTGGTGTTGGGAGTAGCTGTGGTGGGATTAGTGGTGACGGGGATAGCGCACGCAATTGAAGGAGGGCGGGAGGTGCTCTTCATACTAGGTAAGATACATCATTTTATTTTATAACGCGGATATTTCCGAAATAAATTTTTCTAAAAGCTTTTATATAATGGATTTCCGCAAAGTAACGTCTGATTCTATTAATTATAATAAAAACGCTTTGTTTTCTTTTACGAGACGGTTCGCAGTAAATGAAGTGCTAATACGAGTAACCCCTTTTCAAAACAAAATACCAGTTCAAACAATTATGAACCGTTTCCAGCTGTTTTCACATGCATCTCGTATATGACAAAACGGATCGTTACGGGTAAAACGAAACGTTTCTTGAATATACTAATCGGGTGTAAATGACATCATAATTCTCTTATACCTAACTCCTTATAAGTAAACAGCCACATGTCTAACTATTGAAGACTAGGCTCCTCTTATTTCTGAGGGGATTTTCGAGATAGGAGGAGTTCTCTGCATCGCCTTAACACGTGTTGGCGTATGACACAAGTCCTGGAAATATATTTAAGTTATTCCTGCTGGACTCTAACTTGATTAACGCATCTACATTGAAATTTAAAGGCGAGTGATTATCCTCTGGTCTTTTATGATTCATCATATTGTATCGTCATCATCAGTCTCCAGTCTCCAGCTGGACAAAGGCCTATTAACCACTCCACTTATTACAATCTTAAGCTTGTTCGGCTTATTGAAAAACAATACGAATGACGTGATTGCTACGAAACTATTTCTAATATGATTTGTTTAGTAAATTGTGCAATCTAATTCGTGGTTAAAACAGATCTTTTTTAAAGTATAAATCGCTCTGGGTTTCTTTCTGATTCTTCCGAGGTATTTTCCGATCTAGAGGTAAATTCATCAATTTGAATATATGAAATTTCTATTTCCGGCTGCCTTGCGTAGATGGTCACCTTCTAACCATGGCATTCCACATTCTGTATACCGCTTTACCGTTTAACGCTGCCTCAACTCATCGTAAAAGGCCACTAAATTCTAAATCACTAAATCTAAACTGTAAAGAGAGTTTGCAACTCCCAACCGACATGTTTGTTACGTATGCCTCTACGGAACATGTTTAGTCTACGTAGGGACGGGACCTGACAGATTTCCGACTGGCCAGTCAATTTTCGTGCCGCGCTGACAACTTTATGTAACATGTAACTCTGCATTATTGTCCTATTATTAGATATTGAATTTTATAAATATAAATTAAACTATCTGTTTGTAATATTGAAATAACTGACTACTATTAAATTTAGAGGGTTATTTGCATGCTATTGAGACATAAATAACTATTTTATTAATTTTTGTCTGTCTGTCTGTCTGGGCTAATCTTCATAATAGCTATACAAGAAAAGATAAAAGTGCCAAGAGCTATCTAGGGTGTATTTTATCCGAAAAATTTAAAGGATTTTTTTGGAAAAAAAAAAGACGTTGAATTGACAAAATAAATGGTCTTTGATTATCCAAAATGTAAATAACGCCACTTTGACCGAGGCACCGGGGTGGGTAGCTAGTTTTAAATAAATATAATTAGCCTTGTATTAAATACATATGACGTTGTAATTTACATTCAAATATATCTCAAGAGCAAGTTTCATATGTTTTTCTTCTATTTCTGACAAAATATGACCTGAATACTTGTTATGTAATTACAATGGGTCAATTTCGTTTCCCTTATATTATACTCGTTGGTACACGGCGCGTTGCTGCCACAAAAAAAAAACAAATTTCGTTTTATATTTGGAAGGAGTTATATTGTTTAATTAGGAATGATAATACATTCGTTGAAGTTGAATGATATATAACTTTCAAAGAAATTTATTGGTGCGATACGCGCGTCACCTATTGTAAGTTAATTGTACTATGCCTATAACCTTCGGTCAAGTGCAAGTAAGTTTTAGCGCAATCTGACGAACGATATGGCAGAGCATAAAATACAAATAATAATTAATTTTATATATATTAATTATTTCGGTTTTCTCAAATTCACATCGCTTGCTTTTATGGTCTAGAATATATTTAGGAGCAACTCCGTGTTCATCTGTACAAAGGCTTTAATAACTGACCACTAAATTGGGTTTTCGTCTCAGTCTAAATATGAAGTTACGGTTTTCTAGGTCAGACCGGTCTATTTTCAAAACATTACACACTCTAGGCACAAGTTGAGGTGACTCTTCTGTGTCGTTTCCGTAAATTACGGATATATTTTACCGACTTCAAAAAGGAGGAGGTACTCAATGCGACTGTATGTTTTTTTGTTTTTTTTTTAATGTATTACCTTATAATTTTTTTCTGAGTGAACCGATTTCGATGATTCTTTTTTATAAATTAAAGCTGGTGCTGCTCATGTGGTCCCATATACATTTGACCAAGGTCTGACCTATACCTAATAGTTTTTTTATTTATTCTTAATAATTTATATTGAAGTCTTAATAATGTATATTGAAGTCAGTTGTACAACATTTTTTATTTTAAAATATTGATAATATTGATTTCGACACGAATATGGTACAAGTGAAATAATTTCTTAGACACGGATTTTTTTATACAATTAAGGTTACCTTATGGTAAGTGGATGTTGTGGCATATAGACATATACATCAATCTTTAATTAAAAATATATTGTAAGCCTTGAAGACTCGTTTAATAGTAAAAAGGGACTTCCGTTCACTAGCTTTTGCCTGCGTCTCTCCCAAGACGAAACAGAAACTCTTTTGTGTACATTTTCCCTCGTAACATCCCGTGGCATATGGTAGCGCATGCTTTAGTTAAATGTCAATGAACTTTCAAGCCATCTAATGGTAAATAGCTACTGCTGTCCATGAACAAAGAAAGGTACAGATACGCTGTCACCTCTAAACACTAAATTAGAATGCCTGTCAGCCCGTAGTTTAGTTATTCCATT